AACACATCCTCCTGGACGCCTTCAGGATTTAGTTTTCAAACTCAAGTTGGTCTTCATTTTACCTCCTTGAGTTTGAGGGGGGCCGTTAATATATATACATATATACACAATGTACATGTTAATTAGTCTCACATTGATTAGAAAGTAAAACATTCCTATCAAGTTAAATTATAAATAGGATGCCTTTCTTGTAAACAAATTTCATTATTCAATACAATTCTATTCTCTTTGTATGTCTTATTTTTTCTTTTAAATTCAACTGTATCAACGGACATACATATACCATGAACCGTACGCTCAAGTCTGTTTGAACTTTGAACGTAACAGTCAGAAAAATTCAGAATTAACTCAATGATAGTGAGATAAAATTTATAACACAGTACTAGAGTACAACTTGTGAGCAAGACAAGTGAAAACATAGAATGAAAGAGAACCATAAATACTAAGTGCTATCATTATTCTATTCGGAAAACTAAACTGCAAGTTTGGCCATCTTAATTATGAGAGTGTTGGCTCATGATATTAAACAGGACTGAACACTATAATACGAGATTTTTTCTTCTTAATGCTGCCAAGCACCGTCCAATCCACGTCGCCAAAATGTATTGTATTTGATTTTAGGCATCTGGATTAGCTCGAAGGTAGGCCTCGATGGCCTGGAGCATTGACATGGTCTTCTCTTTACCTTCCTTAATTTTCTCCTCAGTGATCTGAACATCACCCTTGGTGTTGTAAATGCTTCTGCTCTTACATATGCATCCTCCGTCAGCATTAGCTAAAATTTCAATTTTGTAAGTGATTGATTCAAAAATTTCCATCAGAACATCCCCTTCAAAAATGCTGTAACTATGTGTGAAATTTTCTCTGTCAAGAGCATCCACATGGTACTTCACGCTCTTAAACTGGCTGTCCTCGCCAAAATTAACGAGCTTGACGGTTCCAACCCCTCCATCACCCTCGAGGGTTTCGACACTTTCAATAACCCGAGGCATGATCTTGGGTATGAGGTTGTCCGAGTCGAGGACAAGGGCCTCGAACATTCTAGCTGCAGGGACAGACGAAGTTATCTCGACGTCACAAGTTACGACACCCATGATTATGTTTTGTCGAGTAGGAAATGATATTGACTGATCATAATATCTTGCTATTGCTATTTATAGTGATATTGTGCGAATTAGTTTGGTATAATATGCATGGAAATAGTTCTGTCAATTATTTTTAATCATGGAAACTATGAATGTAGCCCAGAATTGTTGACTCATATCAAATTTGTATGTGAACTGTTGAAAGAATGTGATTCTCTTAGCGTGAGAAACATGGAAGTAATTGAATATTAAACATCCAATATAGACAAGTCTGAGTATTCTAGATTTCCCTGTTCTTTTTTTTTTTAACTTTTAGTGTACTTTTAAATTGAATACTGAGCATCCAAATATATACAGATATTCAATGAAACTGGACAATAACACTTTGAGCCGAACATCCTCAGTTAACATAAGTTAACTTTCTTTAACACAAGTAAAGTTTAACACTTTGAGCCAAACATCCCAGATTAGACTTTCAGGAATCAGGGATTCAATGTACAAATTTTATATGAAACTGTGGCTTCATCCAATCTTAGTCAGAACTTTGAATATATAGGTATAGCTGACTATAGGTATCTATATGTAGGCCCCTAACGGGTGGCTAACCAGCCACCACGGCAAGAGAGCCATTACTGTCGAGCATGGCACACGATAACGAACAAGATTTAATTTATTTTTCTCATTCGTGTCCAATACTGTCTAGCCTAAAATTGACCTCCTTCAAATGTTTGCCCAAATTGCCAATTCCCGGGGGCGACGTTGTAGCTCGTGATAGTTCTTCCATCACTTGTCGTGACTTGAAACGAGAGGCTTTGGCCATTGAGGTATGAGTTGCTTTGCCAGTTTTGCCCCCAGTTTCTGGACATTTGTTGCCATCCTGTGTTAGAACCCTTGATTGATACAGAATGGACATCCCCAGCACCACCAACATTTGTGACCAATAAAAGGTTAAAATAGGAATGCCCATTTATTGTAAACCTTATTCCTCCCTTTTTTGTGCAGGGTACCCTGTCAAGATCAACAAATGAAAATAATATTAGAAATATACATTCAAAAGTTGTAATCATAAGAACCCTAGTCTCCTTTCTTTGTAACATTTTTCATAAATTGGCACCGACAAAACTTAAACTATTGGACCTTTATTTATTGAGCCCTGTTTTGTAGGGATTAAATTTTAATTTTAATTTAAGTCAAAGTCAATAATTAATTCTATCAAAATCTACTAAAAATTTTATTTTAATCCCCACAAAAAAGGGGTCTGAATAATGTTATTCGGTCCCATTGTCCCCTTATGCTTAGTATTACTCTTTTCTATTACTTCATCCGTCCCATTTATATATGCTTGTTTTGTTTTTCACAAGGATTAAAAAATCTTATTTAATGTTATTGAAGCAATTTTTTCCAAAAAACTTTTCTAATTTATCCTCATTTAACTATCAACAACAATTACTAAATTATTATTTGAAGTAGTAAAGAAATAAGGGTATATTAGTAAACGAACAAAACAAAACATTCTTAATAAATAAACGAGACTATATAATTGAGACAAGAAAATAAGGAAAGTGAGTCTATATAAATGGGACGGAGGGAGTATTATATAATTTTTAAGGGTTTGTTTAAAAATTTTAACTATTATAGTCAATGATAGGGGTTACTCTATGTTTTATGAACATTTAATGTTCATTGGAATCTATGTAACACCAGTTTATATTGACTTTTTTTCAAGCAAGTCAATTATGTAGACAATGGTGTTAGAATATGTTCGAACACGCGATATTATAACGTGATTATTACCTTCGAAAAGAAACGGGGACAATTCCAGCTCGATATTGGGCAATCTGCAAGAAAGCAGGCTCAGCCAAATCAAAGTGCTGGAGGGGAGGATTGCACCATCCACCATTGTCATTAGACAGGCCAGGGTTAGGAGGGCAGAAGTTTGTAGCCGTGACGGTTATGGACCCCGGGAGGCACCATTGGGCGTCATTGGTGCACGTCATCTCATAGCACGAGCCACAGCTCAAGCCATTGTTGAACAGAGCAGTGCTTAGTGCTGCAGTGTTAGTTCCATACCCTTGACTGTACAAGTTGCCATAGCCACAAGCTCCTCCTGCATTACCAACAGTGTACAGTCTTTCGTTCAGGACTATTACGAAAAAAAGCATACTATCTTCGCAATAAGACTACAGTTTTCTAAAACTATCCATCGCTAAGTGACCTAGTTATTTAACTAGGCTTCACAAATTTAAAATGTAGCATTCAATCAAGAAGTCTATGGTTTATTTGATAAGTAGATAGTATAATAGTAATGAAGAAAAATAAGTTAAAATATTATCAAGACGCATTTCACATACCCATCGTGCCTGATGCGTCGCCTCCGCCATAGAAAGTAGCATGACCACTTTGCCATCCTCCATAATCGCCATAGATTCCATGGATGCATAAGAAGAAAACAAGAGAAACAATGGAGACTACTTGGATAGCCATTGAGAAGGACAAGAATGTAAATAGAGAGAGAGAGAGAGAGAGAGAGAGAGAGAGTTGAGGGTTTAGTACAAAAATGGGGGTACCAGGGCTTTATTTATATAGCAAAATAGGAACTAGGATTGGGGGATATAGAGATATATGGCATGAATGTATAGTAGAAAACGACAAGTTTGCAAGAATCACAAGAGGTGAATCAAATTTATTTAGGTCACATACAACAACTGAAGATGCACATGCAATTGTTCCAACTTGAAGTACCAACTGCAAATAATATACCCTACAAGCACATGCATTTCTCAACTGTATCTTTTTTTTTTCCCTTCTTTTCAATCTATATTATTTTTTTCATTTAATTCTTAGACTTCATGTCAAAGTTCCATAATATATTTATGTGATTTTCCTGATAACGCGCCCGGTTGGTGCGTAGTTAATGTAGAAGCTTTGGCAACATTGACTATATCGATGTGTTTGGTATACTAGACTATATATGATATCTAAGACCATGTTTGATTGGTGTTATTTTCCCTAGAACTTGGAAAATGAATTCTATATAACTAGCTGTAAAAATTTTTTTGCTTTAATAGACAATTTTCATGTAAAACAATGTCAAGCGAATACTAAACTTTGATTTAAAAAAATGATTTTTTTAAGCAAAAAAAAAAAAAAAAA